TGGCTGCACATTTACACATCTGACATGCAGCTCTCAGCTCTGCCACTTTAGCAGCTGAAGGTTAGAAAAGATAACTGCAAAACCAATAGTTTGCTATCCTGCTGCGAGAAAGCACAACTAGCTAACATACAGGTTTCCAAACATCTTGCTAGTTTTCCATCTACTCTCGGGCTCTAAGAACTATTGACAAAACACAGTCATATTTAAGCTAGAATAGTACCTCCCTTGTTTCAGATGCCAATATGATCATTGTTTAAGTCCATCTGTATCTCTATAACTAGAAAAGTAAACTCTTTGAAGGATTACTCTAAGAACATTTGGGAAAAAAAAGTAGCTGCCTGCTTGGTTAGCAACGACTGAGACAGAGAAGAAAAAAGTCAAAATGTTTTAGCGCTACTGAGATATATACAGCAGTTATAGTCTTAGTTTCTAAGCAGAACACTAAGACTTATTTTGCACTATAACGCTTTAAATAGTTTGGGGACAAAACAATCTTCACTTGCAGTAACCCAAGGAACTTCAGGTACTACTGGCACGATTTACTGAAGAAGTTGCTGCTCGTAAGGCATTTATATGTGGAACACTTTATTCTGAGATTGTTACCTTTTGAATCTGAAGACCCTCAGCTCACACCAAAGTTCTACCAAGAGAAGCAAAGAATTCTGGTAAGATACTCAGTTACAGTTCTTTGTTTATTGTTTACAAAGGGGCACTGCAACACTTGACACTTTCACAAGGGACAGGTGTTCTAGAGAGTAAATGTAATATGTTAGGAAGAATGTTTTCCGTGTGTGTGTGTGTGTGTGTGTGTGTGTAAAAAAACTTTAAAATATAAGTTACAATACAACATCAACAAGCGCTTGTCAGTTTTATTCCGAGGCATGGTCTTCCCATAACCCTTTCATGCTACTACCACTGAGCAGTATTATATTCAATTCAAACTGCCAGCTCTGCAGCACAGGGATCTATGTTTGTAGAACAGCATGCACATCAAGGACACAGCAGAAAGACAGATGATAATAAGCTCAGTAAATGAGAATATTAACACACACTTGGCTTCCTGCTTCAGTAACCATGTCCGTTAATAGGTGTCTGGTGGGCACAAGAGTCTGAGAGCAAAAGACTTGTTTTTATACTATCCGTATCTCATGCTGCACAGTTCATCCCATAAACACGTACCTTTTTATCCTGTTTGTAAGAACTACATTTTCCTTACTTACGTATTCATTCACAACCACATTAGCACAAACTAAGATGCTAATAGTCCCCTACTTTAAAAGCCTGCTGGTAAAACAAATGTACGGTTCAGTGAATCTTTCTAATAGTGAAAAACACAAGGTTTTTACCAAGCATTCAAGACAAATATGAATAATGGGTTGGATGCAACTGAATATTATAGATTTACTCCACAATCCAGAATTTGTAGGTAAAAAACAAAACAAAACATTTTTCGCAAATCATTTTTGTTGGTGCTTCACCTTAAAAAAAAAAAAAAGTTTGATTCTTTAAAAGAGTAAAAAGGTTGCAGTTACCCAATTTCACAAAGAAAATCCAAATCAGGGAAAGAAACAGCCTTTTCAATCATTTCAGCTGGTCCTCCATCTGTTCTGGATTACTTCATTACTACTAGCTTTCTAATAATTTGTCCACTCATACAAAGCATTTAACCAAAACTATGTAAGTACTAAGATATCTAAACTAATGACAATCCTGTCGGAGAAACTGTTAGTGTAAACATATACCTCCTGCAGTCAACATGCACGTTAAACTTCTAGGCCTCGCACTTCCTGAAATCACTTTTACAGGCAAAGGGTATCTTGCCTATAGAGATAGAAATCATCAGCAAATGAAAGCCATGAAGTGTCATAACTAGATCAATTGCTCATCACCAAAGATTAAAACCCTGACAACATTAAAAAGGCTAGATGACATGACTTACAAAACCAGAAGATATCCAAAATCTTAAGCTGTCCTAAAAGACACAGCGACTTCAGAGCACAAGCTGAAACTTCATACGGCAAATGAAAGTTGCCACTTTGAAACCTTAAAATATTTCACTCAGATTCCAGCTAAAAATAGAACAGTTTTATTTCCATCACTGATTCTTCTTTAAATAAATGCAAGTGATCTATCCAGTTAAGGAACAGCTCACAGCCAGAAGATCACGTTCTGAAACTCTTGTGTAATTAACATGTTGACACATTATCTCTTGTTTATCAGTAACTGAGAATTGTATTCTATTTGCTCCTCAGAACTTTTGCATCATTCATTTGCACCTGTATATGCTAGATATTCATCCTTGGCATTGGGAGGAAGTGATCGAGTACCAAAAGTGCATAAAATACAATCTCCTGTATCAAAGAGGCATAAAAACATCCTGCTTTTAGTAAACAAACACTTGTACCTTCTTTCTTGCAAAAGGATTCTTAAACACAACAGCACTCAAGTCTTGCCTGTTAAGCTCATCCCTGGTTTAGGGAGATTTGTCACTATCATTAACAACTGATATCACAGTTTGTATACGATATTGAAATCACTCTATCGATACTACTTCGCTTTCTGCTTTGTTTATTTAAACAAATCTTCCAGAAAATCTCATCTTCTACAACACGTAAGAGTGCAAAACCTTCTCGGGTCACGTCTTCATTTATGAAGTTCAGTGGAACATTTAAAATAAACTCAAGCGTTTCTATGCAAGCCTTCACTAAGAAGAAAATTAAATTCAACTACTAGCTACATTTTTACTGAGTATCATTTCCTACGGGAAAATTACAAAATTCATTATTCATCCTATGAAAATTTTATATTTATGAATTTATCATGAGAGAGGTAAAAATGTTTCTTAAACCTCCTTCTATAGAACACACACCATCTTAGTAACTCCAGTATTTGTCTTTATGTTAACACATTCTCCAGGATTAGCTGTAAACAGAGGGTACAGTTATCAGTAGTCAAAAGTTATATTTGCTTCTGTTTGTTAGCAATATGGTCAGAAATAGAACGGACTTCTAAAATCGGAGAGTGGTTACAAAAAGACAAGCAAGAAAGTTGTAGGAGGCAAACGTACCCTCCAGCCTTCAAATTCTATTTTAGCACCTCCTATAACCCACGGCCGAAGAGCATTAGTAACCCTCCATTACAGGAAGGAAAAAAGCCACTAGAACTCACTTTACACAATTAAAAATGTTACAGACATCTTTTCTGTAAATGACTTGTTCTGTAACAGACACCTTCACAGATATCACCAGTCATTATTCTTAATGCTGCAGTCCGCTAATATGTGAACAGTTCTGATGTCACCAACATTTAGTGCAAGATCATTAAATCAATAGGGATCAAGAAAGCAGGTTCATTAAGAGCAGCTTTTAACCTAGAACTCTCAGTGATCGGAAACAAACATGAAAGGACTATCTTTTTTTTTTTTTTTAAATCTTTTTTATTATTACTATTTTTGCTTCTTGATAGAACATAACCTTCCAAGAAAGTTCAAGTTTTTCAGATAAGGTAGTTCAGCAAAAACTATACTGACTGAAAAGCCCATCTCACGTCTTGCCTGAACTCAGCACACCTTCGGAGTGCCTTAAAAGCAATACGAGAATTTTACCGTCCAGTTCTGCAGTACTGCATGGAATTGCGTATGTAATAGTAAATTATGCTTATGACAAATAAACCAGCAGAAGATGTTTTTGTGATTATCCTTACTAGTTTCCAAACTTAATTCTCTTCTTCCTTGAAGACAGCTAACTACACTCTCCTTTAATATTTGGCTAGAAATATAAATTCTCCCTACGTTTAAATAAAAATAAAAAAAAAAGCTTCCTCATTCTTCCGCTTCCAGTTGGCCACCTCTCCACTAACCTGAATTTAGCGGCATAAACGCTAATTACAGGCTATAACAAACACACCAATTAGGTTTAGTTAGATAATACTGCGTTTGCTGCATTGAGCCTTTCGTGAAAGCTCCGCTACCGGAGCTGCTGCTGGAAAACATACGTTCGCCCAGCGCAGGCTCACTCCGCTGTCCCCCAAACAGCCACCTAAGCAAGAACGCCTGCTGAAGAGCCTAAAACCTTCCGGCTGGAAGTTTTATTTTAAAAAATAAAG